CACTTACTGAAGAAGATTAGACTACAGCCTTCAATGTGGATTACATCTCAACATCAAGAAAACAGAAATCCTCATCACTAGACCCACAGGCAACATCATGATAGATGGAGAAAAGACTGAAGTTGTCAGTGATTTCATTTTACTTGGATCCACAATCAATACTCATGACAGCACCAGCCAAGAAAACAAAATGAGAGTTGCATTGGGCAACTTTTGCTTTACTCAAAGGCCTCTCCAAAATACTAATGAGCAAGGATATAAGTTTAAAAACGAATGTGTGCCTGATACAAGCCGTGATATTTTCAGTTGCTTCCTATGCATCTGAAAGTGGACAATGAATAAAGAAAACCAAATAAGAACTGATGCTTTTGCATTTAGTGTCAGTGAAGAGTAATGAAGATACTTTGGACTTCCAAAAGAACAAATCTCTCTTGAGGGAAGTACAGCCAGGCAAGGATAAAAGCAAGAATGGTGAAACTTTATCTTGTATTCTTTGAATACGTTGCCCAGGGGAAAAAGTTAAAGGAAAAAGACATCATGCTGGAATATCAAAGAGTCAGTATAAGCGAAAAAGACCATCAATAAAATGGGTTGACACAACAATTCAAAGTGACAATTGGAAAGGAGCTCTGATGGCCTAGTGGCAAGAAGCTGCACTGCAATCCCAGAGGTGCGCAGTTCAAATCTATCAGATGCTGTGCCGGAGGAGAGACAACCTCCTCCTTCACCAGTCAGATCCTATTTGATGATATACACACACAAAAAAATAATAATAAAATTTAAAAAAACAACAAAGTGACAATTGGCTTGAGCATGGCAGAGACTATGAAGATAGTGCAGAAAAGACAAGCTTTCCATCTGTTGTTTATAGGGTTGTGAAGAGTTGTACTCTAGTTTATTGCACCAAAGGTGCAGGCAGAGTGCTCCTTAGAGGCAAAGATGGCAAATCTTTGTGTCAGGTACTTTGGGCATGTATTTAGGAGAAGCTATGCATGTTTCTAGAAGAGGTTATTCCTTGGAGAGTGACATCATGCTTGGAAAGGTGCTGGAAGAGAGGAAGACCATCAACCAGGTGGATTGACACAGTGACTGCAGCAATGGGCTTGAGTGTGTCAGAGATTGTGAAGATGGCATGGGATTAGGACAGCATTCAGATCAGTTGTTCATAGTTATGAGTTATATTCAACTCGATGGCACCTAACAACAACAATTTCTTGGAAAGGAACATGATTGTAGAGGTGGAAGTTCAGTGAAAAAGAGCAAGACCCTCAACAAGATGTATTGAAACAGTGATTGCAGCAATGGGCTCAAGTCAGGAAGTGGTCACTACAGAGTCAAGTATGAGCTGATTCTGACTGGATGGTATATAACCTCCACTGGGTTGCTTTTTCACTCTTTCCAAAAACCAATTGCCTGTACTTTCATAGAGCTCTATCTATGTTCTCTAGGGAGCTGATGGCCTAGTGGTAAGAAACTACTCTGCTATCCCAAAGGCATATGGTTTCAGCCGCTGCTCCATGGGAGGGAGAAGGATGGGAAGTCTCCTCCTGTGTGATTTATTGACCCTGAAAACACGATGGAGGGTCAGCTATGAGCTGGTTCCAATTCAACAACACACAACAATGTCTGGATTTTCTATTATGTTACATTGATGTAGGAGTTAGTCCTTTTTGATAAAAGAACTACATTATTTTGATTACTCTCATTTTTGGCATATGGTGGTGACTTGTGTATTGTTATGGTCTAGAAAACTATGCCATCAGTATTTTAAGAACAGCAGGTCGCCCTTAGAGCACAAGTTTCAGTGGACCTTCTAGATTAACATAAACTAGAAGGAAGGATTTGATAGTCTATTTAAGAAATTGGTCAGATCTCTGGCACCATGAATGGCTTCAGTAGAGAGGAGTGTGCCATGCCCGTCACCCTCTAATACCAAGTCTTCCTCAAAAATGGAAAAAGAAAAACCAATCAAAAAACCCAACCCACGGCTTATCTCCATTCCATAATATTCCAATTTATGCAGATAGGAATGTGTTCTACATGGTAATTGAAGTATCACGTTGATCCAGTGCAAAAATGGAGATTGCTACCTAAGACATTTTAAACACAACTAAAGAAAATACAAGTTGTGTCATCCCTTAGACTTGGAAATACCCAGGACACAATAACAAACACACTGGCTATTGTGGTGACAGTGATCAAATTGATGTGTGTGAAATTGGGGTAAGGTATGTGCAAGAGGTGAAAGTTTCAGTGTGAAAGTTTTGAGCATACTGGCTAGGAGTGACAAAGGAGAATGGAATTTCCCTGGAATACAAGCTGATTTTGCTGCATTCTTTTCTTCTGGAAAAAAATGGATGCCAATATAGTAGCTTTACAAAGTTTTCAATTTAGAAAACTAATCTAAAGTAATTCCTACTGTGACAAATACCAAAGATTCAGAATGTTGTCTGCAGAAAAGTGTTTTTAATAACTCACCTAAGATCATCTGATACATAATTATGCATCAAAATTTGGAAAATTTGTAAGTAGATATTATTAACCACATACTGAATATGTTGTTGTTGTTGTTATGTGCCATCGAGTCGTTTCTGACTCATAGCGACCCTATGCACAACAGCTCTAAACCCTGCTCTATCCTGCGCCAACCACGTATTATATATTAGAAAAAAATTATTTTGCTGGGGAAAAAAAGAAATTAGCTAGTGAAACTATATGAATAGCAGCAGAATATTGCCTCATATATTACTAGAAGCTGATCCGCTCAGACTGGAAGGTCCTCAAAGACTTTTAATGATATTGATAGAGTAAAGCTTTTGGGATCTTCATTTGCTGATGGAATATGACTCAAAATGAGAAGAAAAAGCTGCAAGTTTTCATTAATAATCAGAATGTTGAGTGGGAAAAATATCAATCGAAGAAAATTGGAAGTCTTCAAAAATAGAATGTATAAAGGCAGTGTTGTAGGCTTTAGTGGATTTAAATGAGCCAAGATGAGCCATTTTGAATAGGACAGTCAGTTGACTTTCTATGCTAGAAATGACAGCTTGAAGAGAAATGGCATCACATTGATTTGTCAAAAAGAATATTTCAAGATCTGTGATAGAATACTATCCATATGCCAGTCAGGATGACTAGTTAATCCACCTATTATTCAGATTTATGCACCAATTACTAAAGCTAAAGATGAAAAGGTGAAGAGTTTACCTGCTTCTGGTGTTTGAACTAAACCAAATATGCAATCGAGGTGTCTTTACAAACACTGATGCTTGAAATAGAAAAGTTATAAAAAAGAAGGATTGGTAACTAGAAAATAAGGCCTTGAAGAAAGAAAGTATGATAGAATTTTGCAAGATCAATGACTTAGTCATTGCAAATATCCTTTTCAACAACATAAACAATAAGGGTACATATGGTTGATGGGTGGAATAACTAGAATTCAAAGAGAATGCATCTGTGAAAAGAGGCAGTATCACCATTTTTTATAAAAGTGTTTATATTTTTACTGTCAGTAAAATGAATTACATCTTAGCTTTTGCTTTAGTGCATCTCTCAAATCAAGATGAACCACCAACAGCTAGCTGTTGTCATCGCAAAAGTTCAGCATAGTTCCAACTCTTGCCACAGTATGTGCCAGTGTTCCCATTAGTGTGTGAAGGATATAGGCTTCGGCTAGTTAGACTAAATGCCTGTCCTTGAGTGGATGACCCAAGATATGTACTCAGCAAAAGAAACAATGATAACTCTTTGTCTCCAAAATAAAAAAGAAAGTTTAACTGTAACTTAAAAAAATAAACTTTATTTATCTTAGGCATTTCATCATTCTCTATTGTTTCTTATAGGTAACATGTTTTAATTAAATGATTATTTTAAAGTATTTGTTGGGAGAACTTGCTAAGTACTTTTTTTCTAGAAGGAATTTGAGTGTATGTCTTCCTATATTATAACATGGCAGAGATAGTCTTTAACCCTCCTGTGTGGACACTGGTCAACCGAGTATAGAATTCCATAGCCATAAACCATGTCCCTCTGAACATTTAGCATTTCTGAGGAAATGGCCAACAATCACCAAATTGGCATTCTTTGTTAGATAATCTATTATGTTCTATTCAGAAGTTGGTAGAAACATCTTGCTGCATGAGGAAATAACTACTGGGAGCTGGTTTGGAGTTCCTCACTAATATTTGAACAGTTTTTGGATGTCCTGTAAGGGGCTTCACCTCCATGTCTTTCTGGTACCATGTAACTTTGATGATTCTGTGTGACATAGCAAGTGATAACATCCCTTGGCTGCATGCTTGGTCATGCCATGCCACACAGTGAATAAAACTTATTTACCCTCCTTGACCCATCTCACTTTCCAAATTTCTGTGCTGCTCCACGAGAAAGCCACTGATTAGGGTCAGAGTCCAGAGGTGAATAACACCTTCACGAAAGGACATACTGTCCTCACTTCCCTCTTTGATCCAAAGGCAGGAATGATTTTCTGTCCGGAAACCAAGTGAAAGGGTCACAGGCTAGTTACAGAGCCATTAGAGAGAAAAATTCAGAAAAGATATTTTTAAATTAAATAGCAAATAGGAGAAAGAAAAAAGCTTTACTCAATACTATTTTATATGGCATAGAAGAGCTGAAAGGTAGCCTAAAGTAGACACTCAAATATTTTCCAAGAAAGCATTCAAGGAAACATTAAATAAAAGATTAAAAGACAAGAGCTTTTCATGAGTTGAACTTTAAAAGTGAAGATTCACTTTACTTTTTTTCAATTTGTTTATTATCCATTCCAGAGAGTGAAAGGTACAAGGCTCGATGAATGGGCATAAATCATTATGAAACTCTTTGAAGAATGAAGTGGAAATAAAACGCCATAAAAGGTAATCAGTTCAGACAGAAGCCTTCTATGTAATGAGATTTATGTAACATTTGTTGAAGTTGGCCCACATCTGGTGGTCTTATCCTCTGAGACCCTCAGGTAATAGAAAATAGGATTGCTTCCACCATCAATGAGCAAGGCATTTCTGAAATACCAGATTCCTCACAGCACCCTTCACGTCCTTGTTCCTCAGGCTGTAGATGATGGGGTTGAGCATGGGGGTCACCACGCCATAGAAGAGGGAGATGAGCTTGTCTGAGAGGTCCTCTTTGTCTGCCCCCAGTGGATCCTTGGACTTGGGCTTTGCATACATAAATAGGATGGTCCCATAGAAGACAACCACAACTGTAAGGTGGGCAGAGCAGGTAGAGAAGGCCTTTTTCCTCCCTTCTGCTGAGGGGATCCTTAAAATGGTAGCAATGATGAATACATAGGAGAAAAAAATGAACAGCACAGGAATTCCTAAGAAGATCACATTGGCTACTCCCATACTGATCACATTAATGGAGATGTCAGCACAGGCCAACTTCAAGACAGCCAAGATCTCACAGGTGAAATGATTGATGACATTGTCCCCACAGAAAGGCAGTCGCATTGCTAGGGATGTCTGCACCATAGCGGTGATACTTCCAGCTATCCAAGAGCCAGTAGCCATAGGCATATAGACATCGTTTCTCATGATCTCAGAATACCTAAGGGGGTTGCAGATGGCCACGTATCGATCAAATGCCATCATACTCAGAAGCACACACTCTGTGGCGCCCATGGCAAAGGAGAGAAACATCTGCACAGCACAGGCTGAGAAGGAGATGGTTTTCCTGGGAGTGAGGAAGCTGTCAAGGATGAGGGGGACTGAGGATGTGGTGTAGCAGATGTCCAGGAAGGAGAGGTTCCCCAGGAAGAAGTACATGGGTGTGTGCAGGTGGGAGTCCAGGATGGTCACAATGATCAGGACTCCATTGCCCAGGAGGACCACCAGGTACATCACCAGGATGAGCACAAAGAAGGTTTTCTCTAGTGTTGGGTGTGCTGAGAGTCCCAGGAGAATGAACCCCATCACTGGGGAAGTCTGATTGGACCTAATCATGTAATATCTTATTTCACTTGCAGTAGCTCAAAGAGTTAGAATCATCATTCTCTGATGTCTAAAGTGCCTGATCAGCCATTGAGAGGTCCCTGTCTTGTTGAAAAATTAGAGAACAGCATTGATAATTTGAAGTTCTTTACATGTTTCTACATAAAATGCAAGGCATTTTATTAAAATGGACCCTGATCTCTGGCCAAGTCATAAGGAGATTTGAATTGCCGTCTGACTTTGTTTCCCTGACTGCATTCAAGATAGACACTGCACATTTAATTCAAGTTACACTAAGTTTGCCTGACTAGTCAATCTTAATCAGAAGTATATGAAGTATGTACTGTCCCCCTCCCTTTGCACTTAGGATTGGAAGAAAGGCTTATGCTCTGTGTCCTGGATGCTTGACTATTATCCTATCCAAGTACAATTGGGCTTCTTCTGATTCTCCCTCACAATTTACAAGGCTCTAGACTATTCATTCATCTATATACCAACATTCTCTGGGGTGTTTATCAAAAGAACTAGCATCCATCAGTCATTATCTCAATGTATAAAAATAGGTAAGTCTTTTTTTCTTGGGGAACCTCAATTTACTTCTCTAATGATCACTTTAGAATCAATCTGTGTCTTTTTTGGGGTTGTTTTTAATTGTAGATATAGTTCACCCTAGGCACTAAGGGACTGAATTACTTTCTCACTCTTAGACTTTATTTTCACTACTAATACATCGTTTTCCCTTCCTTACCCATTTTCACTCCCATCCCCTGTACTGCTTAATAAAATAAATGGGACTGAGCCCATAAGACTTAACATACTTTTTAAAAGTTGCACCTTACCTTTATCAGATATATGTATAAGAGATAAGGAAAATAATTTCTTGAGGTCTCAGAATAATTCAGTGGCCAAAAATAGCCAGGCCAGTTAGGAAGCAACAGTTCGACTAGTTAGCTCTGAAAATGGTGAAAGTTATCTTGTCTCTGTTCTGTATTTGGATAAAATCCACAAAGGACCATCTGCTGCATATATAAAGCCATTTAAATCTCACTCAACTGTTGGGATTATTCTAGTCCCTGAAGTGATTTAAAGTGTAGAAATTGAAATGCTAACACTGAGGAACTTTTTGTTCACTTGGGATTGTATCTCCAAGATCAAATTAATCTAAAGCCTCTCCAGAAGTATCCCCCCCCACCCAATACTCTCTTTCTAGATACAGGAGAAAGATGGGAATCTCTTGTTCTGTTTACTGCCTCTGAATGCCTGAAGGAGGGTCAGTTAGGAGTCAGTTTTGACTCGATGATACTCCACAATAACAACCTTCTCTTCCTAGGAGTCCCTGGGTAATACAGAGTTAAGTATTCAAGTAGATTCAAGAGTTTAGTGGAAGACAAGCCTGGTTATCTGCTTCCAGGCTGTTCTCACAGAGCAGTTCTACCATGTACACACAGGGCAATCAGGAGCTGAAGTCAACTCAATGCAGCCAACGACTGCATCCTATGTATTCTGCTGAACTAAGAAAGCACTAGGAAGGAAAAAATCATCCTGGCCTTGCCAGAAGGAATATAAAATCTTACCAAATAAAACTCTCACCCAAAGCCCGTAGTAGGCCTGAGAGAATGGGAAATACACCAAACAAGGCAAATCTGAATACTTCAGCACTCTTGACCATTTCCATATTCAGGATCCCAGAATTGAAAGAAGTCAGCAACGTAGAAGTTCACCTTCTATTTGTATCTCACCAAATGGACTCTGAGTTCCTTTCATAGGCCAAGGCTTTGAAGGCCATTTGAGGGAGGAGGGAACAGTTGCCATTGAGCCAACTTTAACTCATGCCAACCTTAGACATGTCAGAGGAGAACTATGCTCATAGAATTTTCAGAATGGAATTTTTTTTGTTATTAAATTGTCAGGTGCTTTTGAACCATGAGTCTTTGCTTAACAGCCAAACATTTTAACCATTTGTTAACCCTAAAACTTACAGGTCATCAGTTAAGTTGGTCATGGTTCCTGTGAAGATTTTTATAGACACAGCAGTTATGGGTTGAGTAAAGGAAAGTTGATCTCAGAAGTGGAATCTTGTTGTTGCTTGAAGATTTTTCCTGTGTGTGGGCTCTCATGCTTGTGCCAATAACTGTGCATTTGTGACAGCATGACTGGTTTATGTGACAGCATGAGAAGCCTTCTCTTCTAAGATCCAGAACTGAGATCTGTGATACCACAGAAATATGCTGATTTTCTTAAATTTGGACCACTGTGTTCTGATATGCTAACTTCCTTAACCAAATTATTATTTTTTTTTCCTTTTTCATTTAATTTGAATGCTAGGAATGTTAGCTGTTGCATGTGTTTTGCTCCTGTTCAGATATATACGCATGATGTGCAAGAGGAGCCTGTCCAGTAAAGACCCAAACAATTCCTTCTAATTCTTCCAGAAATAGAGCATCTTTGTACACTAGCTTATGAGAACCTTCTTCTTGTTGTTATGTACCATCAAGTCAGAACTGACTTATAGCAGACACTCCAGTGGGTTTTCAAAGGTAACTAAATGCATGGGAGAAGATTGTCCTTCTTTCTTAAAGCAGCTGGTAGATTTGAACCATGTGTCTTTGGGCTGGCAGCTCAACTCCTTTCCACTAAGCCACCAGACCTCTCTATAAGAACATTCAATCTTGCACTGCAGTCCTGGAGGCGCACAGTTCAAATCCACCAGATGCTCTGCCGGGGAAGGAGGGACAATTTCCTCCTGTACCAGTCAGATCTGATTTGATGGTACACGCACACACACAAATAATAAAAAAAGAAAAAAGAACATTCAATCATAAATCTTAAATCATCATCTTTTGCCTTTTTTATTTCTAGAAACTAAATTATAGATGAGTATTATAAAAACCTATGCAACATTTAAGGAAAAATTTAAAACTACACACCACCTACCCACCACCCCAGTTAAGAAATAGAATGAGTCATTTCATGTTCCTCATGTTATGATCCTTAATTATGTTTCTCCTTCCTTCTCAACCAGAAATGTCACCTATTCTGTGTTTGGTAGAAATCATTTTGTGGTAATAGAGATCCTAACAATGCTCCTCTTCCCCTATATTTCTTGCCTTCTGGTAAGAAAAGTCAAACCCTAACATAAGTACCGTTGTGAAGGGGATCAACACTTTTGCAAGAGAAGGAAAGGGACAAAAGCAGGATTGGGCAGAGGGACAAGTTGAACTGTCTCAACAAAAGCCTCAGCTAACCCACAGGGAACTCTGGAGTTGGGGTGCCCCTTCAGAGTTGCCCCATGTTTTTATCCCTGTCATAATTTGTCATGTATGCAGGCTGCTCTAGGTAGGGGCAAGTTGGCTTGCTTCATCTAAGAGCCCTCGTTAACTCATTCTCATAGGTGACTGACAGCTGAAGGTGTCTGCCAGCAACACTTCTAGCACCTCGAGGACAAAGTTCTTCAGTCCTATAGAAGGAACTAGCTAGAGAATTACACTTAGTTTCTAAGTAAAAACAAAATAACCCAATTATGAAAATGGAATATGTTAGAATGATAGTGACTGAGGATGACAGAAGAAGAATTTGAGCCTTTGAGCTGTGCTCAAGAAGTGTATTGAGTACACCATTGGCTGCTAAGAGAACAAAGAGGTCCATCCTGGAGAGAGTGAAACCAGGCTACTTCTTGGCGGCAAGGATTCAGAAGTGCCATCCGATATGTTTTGGGCATGTTGCCAGGAGGGACCAATCATTGGAGAGGGACAGCATGCTTGGAAGGGTGGAGGGACAGCACAAGAGAAGACGACTCTGGATGAGATGGATTGAGTCAATGGCTGGGATAAGGGAGGTGGGTGTGTCAGAGACAGATTGACTCAAGATAGAGTGGGGTTCAGAGCTGTTATACATAGGGTCACAGATGACAACACATAACAACAACACGTTAGAATATCATTTAGTTCTGCAGGTACAATTCATTTTAAAGTCAGTCCTCACATACATAGTTTCAAATTTATCCAGAGCAGAATTCATATGTAGAGAATTCTGTGTACTCTGTGCTCAAAGGAAAAGTAGCTCCAAGTTAGTGTGGGCTGGGTGATACCACGCTTGAAATGGTTACACAAGCCTATTTCCCTGGGTTCCTGCTGCCTGAGAGAGTGTTAAAGGTGTCACACAAAAATGAGTTGGTGTCCATTTTTCTGCCCAGATTGCTGGCTGCATGTTGGCAGAACTTTCTGGCAAAATGTTGACCTAATCTCAGACAAAAAAGAGCCCAGGGGCCTCAAGCAAAGCAGACAGAAACATTTCTTCTCATTAGAAAACTTTTATTCTTGGGGTGGGGAGAAGAAATCCAATTACGTGCCAAGACACTAAAAGGTCTGCTCTGAGGTGGCGATGAAGGTACAGGATAGGACAAGGTTCAGGTCTGCTGTTCACGGGATCTCTCTGAGTCACAGTCAACCCAGTGACGCCTAACAACAACCAGCTCGTACGTTTTCTTTTTTGACCTATTCTCTCTCTAAGCTACATGGTGAACTGGCTCCATTTTTCAGGTTTACCATTCCAGTTATCCCCACCCAGCACCTTGCTCCTGACCATAGCATGTCTTCTGTGGTTATATTTTACCGCCTAACTCCAGCTGCCTTTGAACTATTGTGGTGCTGCTGCTATGCTCTACTCCCACAGGTCCCTTTTTTAACTCTCTAGACTGTAAGACCAGACTATGACATTAAGCAAGACTTATTGAGGACAGTAAAACATGAAGCTTAAAACTGGATACCAGTTATGACTGCTGCCAGGCCAAGATCCTCTATAAAGCGCTGGCTTCCTTTGCCTTAAAGGAAATGCCTCATAAGGAATCTGTGATCCCAACTCCTCATAGTTCTAACAAAAGAGAAAAGAAATTGCCACTTTACTATCATTTATAGCTGCAGTATTGTTTCCAAGAAAAACAAATTTGGTGTACCATTTCATCTAATGAAGACAATCTTCTTCTGTGTCGTGAAGTTTGGCCTCACGCTGCCTCCTTTCCAAAGTAAGGTCTTGGCTTTTCCAAAACTATTTTTCTCAAAACAAATGATCAGACTTCTCACAAAGGTGAATTCAGATTTACACAATGGCCAAACAGCAATATCACTCCAGCAGGAATCCACTTTAATCCCTTCAGTCTATACACACTGCAAACTGTAGTTGTCACCATTTTTAAAAAAATCATTTCTAGTTGGATCTGTTAAAATCTCAAACTCTCCATTACAGGTGTAATTTGGTTCCCTGGTAATCATCCTTCACACATGTCTTCTAACAAGAGCATTTTTCTTTATGATTCCTAAAAGCAGCCAAAAAGTATAGAACCACAGGGACATCTGCTCTACCATAACTAGGTGATATGTTTCTGAAATATCAGACTCCTCATAGCAGCCTTCACATCCTTGTTTCTCAGACTATAAATGATGGGGTTGAGCATGGGGGTCACTACACCATAGAAGAGGGAGATGAGCTTGTCTGAAAGGTCCTGTTTATCAGCCCCCAGGGAGTCCTTAGACTTGGGCTTCCCATACATGAAGAGGATAGTCCCATAGAAGACAACCACAACTGTGAGGTGGGCAGAGCAGGTGGAGAAGGCCTTTTTCCTCCCATCCGCTGATGGGATCCTCAGGATGGTGATGAGTATGAAGACGTAGGAGACAAAGATGAGCAGCACAGGGGCTCCCAGAAAGATCACGTTTGTCACTCCCATGCTGATCACGTTAGTGGAGATGTCAGCACAGGCCAACTTTAGGACAGCCAGGATCTCGCAGGTGAAGTGGTTGATGACGTTGTTCCCACAGAAGGGGAGCCTCATCGCCAAAGAGGTTTGAACCATGGAGGCTGCACTTCCAGCTGCCCAGCAGCTGGCAGCCATGGGCACATAGGCGGCCTTGCTCATGATCACAGGGTACCTGAGGGGGTTGCAGATGGCCACGTAGCGGTCAAATGCCATCATGCCCAGAAGGACACACTCTGTGGCGCCCATGGCAAAGGAGAGAAACATCTGCACTGCACAGGCTGAGAAGGAGATGGTTTTCCTGGGAGTGAGGAAGCTGTCAAGGATGAGGGGGACTGAGGAGGTGGTGTAGCAGATGTCCAGGAAGGAGAGGTTCCCCAGGAAGAAGTACATGGGTGTATGCAGGCGGGACACAGACACGGTCACCAGAATAAGGACACCATTGCCCAGCAGGATCACTAGATACATCAGGAAGATGAGTACAAAGAAGGTTTTCTCCAGTTTAGGATGAGCTGAGAGTCCCAGGAGAACAAATTCTGTCACAGATGAGGTCTGGTTAGCACTTTCCATAATCTATTTCCTCTGTCAACTGAAGAAAAGAGTCAGATGACCAAGCTTACCATTCTTTGCCTTGTTCAGGGTCAGGGCATCTGGAGTTCCTGCTTGGCTGGATGATTAAAAAACAACTCTGAAATCTAGTCACTTATTTATTTCTAAGGAAAAAGGAACAATAAAAATTATAAATTTACTTGAGACGTTGTTGTTGTTGTGTACCATCAAGTCAGAATCAACCCACAGCTGACCTTCCAGCAGGTTTTCCAAGGCAATAATTGCGCAGGAGGAGATTGCCCATCCTTCTCCCGTGGCAAATTCAAATCACGTGCCTTCATGATTGCAACACAGATCCTAACCACTGTGGTGGTGTTATGTGCCTTGAGTCACCTGTGACTAATAGTGACCCTATGTACAATAGCTCTAAATTCTGCCCTGTCCTGAGCCGATTTTACTGACTTTGATACGCCTACCCCCATTATTCCAGTTGTGTCAAACCACGTCATCCGAGGTCTTCCTCTGCTCCACTGTCTCTCCTTCCTTCCAAGCATGATGTCTTTCTCTAGAGACGAGTCTCTCCTGGCCACATGTCCAAAGTATGTGAGACCGTTCTTTAAAATCCTTCCGTTCAAGAAGAAATTTTGTTTAATCCTCTCCAATACAGACCTTTTTGTTCTCCATTCAGTGGTGATCCATTCAATAATCTTCTGTAGGACCACAATTCAAAGGCATCTATCTATTCTTCTGTCATCCTTTGTCATTGTACAGCTCTCTGATGCATAGCAAGTAATTTCAAACACCATGGCCTGGAACAGGCATACCTCAGTCCCTAAACTAACATCATTACTCTTTAGCACTTTGGAGAAGTTCCTGACAGAAGACTTCCCCAATGCAATTCATCTTTTGAGTTCCTGGCTGCTAATATCAAGAGTGTTGATTGTGGAGCCAAGCAAGATTAAGTTGCTAACAACCTCAATCTCTTATCCATCTATCGTGGTGCTTGCCAATTGGTCCAGTGGTGAGAATCTTTATCTTGATATTGAGCTTCTGTCCGTATTGAAAATCAAATTTAAGATTTCAAATGATGGCCCTGATTTAATGCACTTGATCAGAAACAAGCTACATCACACTTTTAATTGAGTGGTGCCAAATTCTATCTGGCAATTCAACTCACTAAATAAGATCAGAAAAAGTGACTTTAAGTTTATGTCATGTCTCCATTTTGTGGCAGATACTGGTGAAATGACTATTTGTGAACCTTGACCTTATAAATATTTCTTCTATTAAATTCGTGGTCGCAGAAAACATACTCCTATTGTACTAAGCATTTCTTTTTTTCCTAGGCAATATCACACTCAGGGCTTTTTATTAATCTCCTTTCACTCATCTGAATGTCCATCCTTTCACTCATCTGAATGTCCATCCACCAAAATTTCTGTTGATGAATCAGTAGATGAGTATAACAATTGCCATGAGGACCAGGGGTGAGTAGTAACTTTGCTTAAGGAGATTCACAGTTTGGCAGAGAATGGAAGCAAAAGGATCCAGGAGAGGCCAGAATATGAAAAAAGACACTGGGCATTGGTACAAGAGGGGTCACCGAAAGCTCCCTTGGTGGTGGTGGTAGAGAATCCAACTGGAACTTGCGGAAATGCTTATGTTCTGCCTAACATTTGAATCTTATTCTCCATGTAGATGCACAGGAAGGCTGGCCTCAGAAACTACAGTGGAGTCCAGGTCTGGAAATCTAATTTTCTAGATTAACTAAAGAAATGTTTTGGTTTGGTTTTTTGTTTGTTTGTTTTCTTTTTTTGTTGTTCTTTGGATCATATTCTCTCTGAGTGAATGCCTACTCTGAATTCAGTGGACTTTATCTGTTCGTGAGCCTTTGACTCAATTGCATGATATGTCACCCAAGCAATACCATGCAACTGATTATGCTCCCAGATATTTGAGTAGAGCCGTCTCTCATATTCTAGATTCTCTTCTGCACAGCAGCGATGAATGACTTATCCATATCCTATTGATCTCTTCCATTGATGAAGAGATCATTATATTTCCAAACAATCTGTGGCATATCAGAAAATTCTTCTCCAAATTGAGCCAAGCAGACAGTCTTCAACATCTCATTATATATACTGGTTTTCCTCTTTCTGGAATTGCACTGAGTTTGCACAAAGCTATTAGGTCTGTATGCTCGGAAATCTAGACTATGTTCTGATTGATTTTCTAATTTGCATAAACTTCAGTCCTTCTTTCTCCCTGTCAGAACTTGAGTCCAAACATACCCTAATCTATGCTGAGAATTTGTTAGACAATAAGGATGACAGAAGAATAATCAATGCCTTTAAAAAGTGGTACTGGAGAAAAGTACTGACTATCCCATGGACTGCCGACATAACAAATAAATCTGTTCTGGAGGAAGTGCAAACAGGATGGTCCTTCCTTAGAGGCAAGGATGGTGAAACTTCTTCTCAAATAATTTGGGTATGTTGTAAGGAGGGGCCAGTACTTGAAAAAAGACATCATCCAGGAAAGGTGGAGGATCAGAGAAAGAGAGGAGGACCTTCAACAAGATGATTGAACCCAGTGACAGTAACAGTAGACTTGAGCATATCCGAGATCATGAACGTGGAGCAGGTTACAGTAAGGTTCAGATCAATTCTTCACAAGGTTGCTCTGAGTCATAGTTGAATAAATGACACCCAACAACAACACTCTAAGAGAAATCAGAGATATTGAAACTCTTCAAAAATATTACTTCAAGGTAGAACATTTTCTAAAAGCAGAGCTGCTGTTGTTGAATTGCAGAGGAGGTCTCTGTCTAGTTGTCTCATCCCCTGAGAGCTCCTCCTTCTGGGCCAAGTTATTGCCATGATTAACTCCTAGGAATGCCATAAACATTGGAAAGCCAGCAAAAGCCAGAACCAGAGTAAGATGGAAGGAAATGAAAATATTTTCCACTGAAACAAACAATAGAAAAGTGGTTAAAGTGCATTTGGTAAAGTAAATTTTGAGACCAGGTAAGATAAGACAATCCCATTGAGTTCCAGATTTTGCTGTATAAATGGCGCCCTCTGGAGCATAACTCCAGGACAACTTGCTCCATCTCTTTTCCATATCAGTGGGACCACTGGAGTTATGCCATCACAGGCTCTTAAACCATGTGACAGCATCATCTCTGAGGGTGATTCTGAAGTAAATCTGTAACCTGAGACTGAAATGTTTCATAGGCTTCTTGCCATTTTAGATTTTCCTAATCCAGGAAGAAAAGATTCTATATGGTCCTCAGTCTTTATGACACCACTGAAATGTCTTCACTTGGTACTTTTTTTTTTTTTTTGGTACTTTCTTAAAACCAACCAACTAGAAATATCAATTCAGAAGCTAAAAATGTCACTGTGCTAAAAAGTTAAGCATTTTTTTTTCAGAATCTTCACTTACCTTTATTAAGAACCTACTAGGAAAGAGTCAAAGAGCTCTGGTGGAGCATAATGTATCAGGCTGCTAACCAAAAGGTCAACAGTTCTAATCCACCAGTTGCTACACAGGAGAAAGATATTCAGCCTCCTCCAGTGAAGATGTACAGCCATGGGGACCCAATGGAGGGTGGCTAAGAATCAGAATTCACTTGAAGGCAATTGGTTGAGAAAAGTCCTTAAGACTAGAGAACAGTACATGGGCCAGATAGAGCAACTCAAGTCTGAAACGCCCAGACTGAGATGTCCACTTCAATTTGAAGAAGATATAGAAGCTAGTTCTTCCTACTGTCTTGTAAATCTATGTTTTAAGCAAAATCTTCAAAGTAACAGCTATTACATATAGAAGGCAATTTGAAATCAACAGTCCTGTTGGGACTGATGTGCTCCCTGAAGTGATTAAAAGTTTGGAAATAGAATCATATAAAGTCTGGAAACTTTTTAATACTTCTGGGAAAACATTCCCAAGATCCAATTATGCTGAAAGCACTCCAGAAAGATTTTCTAAACTTATTTTGTTCCTGTGGGTGCTGAGAGGACATTTCTGAAACCATTCCCATGTCTTTCTCAAATTTCCACAAACTTCACAATGCTTTATAGTCTTAAAAAGCACAGGCGAATAACTTGGGAGGTACTGGAGAGCATGATACTAAGTGAATTAACTCAGTCCCATAAGGACAAATACTGTATAAGACCATTATTGTAGAAATAGATAACTAGCAAAACGTGTGTGAGGTAAGGCAGGGAGAGCAGAAGGGTAGGGGATGGGTGGGGGGTAATCATGGGGCTGCATGGTTTGATGGATGGGGAGAGGGGGTAAGTTGGGGAGGAGGGGGGAATATGGTGTGATGGGCAATGTATACAAACTCTGTAGTTAATCCAGTGTAAAATTTTTTTAAAAGTAAATAAGGGGGGGGTGGGAATTAAGTATTTTGTACTTAGGTTAGTTGTTGATTGCTGTCGAGTCGAGCATGACTCATAGCGACCCTGTGAACAAAAAGCCTGAAGTTTTTCCGTAACTATCAACATTTATCAAAGTTCTTAGAGTTTCCAGAGGCATGTTGTTTAAGAAGAAGACATTGAAAAAGAAAAGGAACAAGTGAAAAGATAAGAATCATTTCGGAACACTTTCGCTCTCTAGGAGCTCTGGTGACATGGTCTGTAGGAGGTCACACTGCTAACCAGAAGGCCTCACGTGTCCTGAAGAGAGAAGAGCAGTCTCTTCCTGTTAAGATTTACAGTCTTGGAGACCCAGTGAAGGGTTGCTGTGAGGTGGAATCAACTTAGTGGCAGTGTATTGAGGGGATTTTTCCCTGCACACAGCATTAAGGAGCCAACACTTACGGGCATAGCTTCTAAACCAAATGCTCAAGGATATGACCAAGGAGTACTCTGGGAAAATTACATTTGTAGGAGCTTCAGGCCTTTTGTTCCTGGGATTGATTTAAGTCGTGTTCCACTCACAGGCAATCAACAACAGTCCAAGAGAGACTCAAAGGAGGAGACAGTTTTTGGCCAGACTTTGAATAATGGAGAAAA